ATCAATAGTCACAGAAAATATCATGTTTTAATAAAATTTTCCAATAAAAAAATCGATAGATTACTTTGAATTGAATTCCAAAACAAACAGTTTTGAACCTGCAGATCAAAGTCTTGCATAGTTCAAGACTGAGAAATGCTTAGTTGACTTACTCTCTCATCTTGACATCGATAAAATCACGGCTCAGAACACTAACAAGTTGGCTCTCATGTGAAAAGCGTTCATATGAAATATGTTTAAAAATTGGGTAGACAAAAGGTTGCTCTCCAAAGTTTGTCAAAATTCTGGTTTGAAGTCCAGTCATTAAAATCACGGGATAGACCTCAGAAGTTCCTAATATCTAAGTAATAAGGAAAATAAAGTAATCAGACAATGAAAAAATGCTTTAAAAAAGAAGACAAGAACACTTACAGAAACAACACCCTCAAAACCATTACCCAAAAACTGACCATTTTTGGTGAAGAAAAGAGAATTTGTTATGAAATTGACGCCGCAGCCTATTATATCCTTTTCTTTGAATCCATTAGGACAAATTACTGTGTCCGGAGAAGAATGGAACAGAGCACCACTATTATCCAAACCATAACAGCTCGAATCCCAAACTAAAATGTAAGGAGAAAAAAAATGAACTGTAAATTCAATAATCTTATAAAACGTCGTGCCGTACAAGCACATCAACAAATAAAAAATACCTGTGAGTCTGGATATGTTTTTTGTTGAAAACCCTATCACGATAAGGCTACAAAAGTGAAAATTATGGATAAAAGAAAATACCATTTGGATTTAACTGCGCAAATTTCGGTTTCATAATAATATATCCCCGTGTTAAAAGGAACAGGGTTGTCGCTCTTAATGATCACGGAGGTACTAGTACCTTCTAGAATATTTGGCTCTTCGTTGGGATTTCTTGAAGTCCCTGAAAATGGAGGAGCTGTTTCGGCAATGCGCGTTACCGACAGCCCTGACGGCGAGATCTTAAAAGATGATTGATATTCTTTGCGTCGCCAAGATGCTGGCAACTTCTCAGTTAGTTCTGTTGCATACAAACTACGATATAACTCCTGTAGTTGTGTCATTTGAGAAGAATTCGCCATCTTGTCCAAGACAGCTGATACTTATTTTAGCCGCGTCTTTGATAGCAAACAATAAGTTGATTAGCTTTAACTTGTTAATAATGCAAACATCCATAAAGTAAAGCTTATATTTGTTATGCCTATATTATAATTAATATATCATAATTTAAAAATACTAAATTTTTACTTTAAAATTTGAATATCATAATTACCATTAGTCTTTGAGACGCTATAATTTTAGTATAAATTATGGCTAAAGTGATTAGATTAAGCGCTTTGCCAATATTTGTGCAAAGAAATTGTATTTATTTATGTATAAAATAAGTAAAATCTGTTTGAGTTCGAACAAATTCATACCAAAATGACCATATAATGCATTAAAAAAACCTTCTTCGGCTAACAGTAAAGATGCCCAGCAACATTCAACGAAGATTGTTTTATTTTATTCTTCCAGGTATCTCGTTGTATTGGTTGACAAAAAATTTTGTTATCTTCAAGTACGAAGTACCAAATTGCTGCCAAAATATTATCTATTGCAGTTAATCAATTCCTATCGTTTGTTCAAAAACTGATCATTATCCAACGCTCAATACTTGTTTGGTTTAAGTTTATTTTCAGTAAGGAGACATTTGAAAATGGTCTCAAAATGCATAAGGTAAACCCATATCTATATGTAAAGTATGGGGTGTGAGATAGACTTACCTCCACGTGGTGCACCCTGGGCAATGTATACTCATACGGCGAAAAAGTCTATTAATCGGCAGTTGACTTCTGACTTCAAACTACTAAGTCTCCACTGCATTTCATATTCGACTACTTCCACAGTACTCATCTCACCTTTTTTCTATCTTTGTGTCTGTCTGTCTCTTTTACGTCTGTGAATCATTATTCTGTTCCCCCTCCCTCTCGACTTTTTGCCACTTTGATGTTCCTCTTCCTTTCTGTGAAGTCCGAAGTCAACTAAAGTGCTAATGATCCTATCATAACGCCTGCCATTTGAAATATATATATATATATATATATATATATATAAAGTATTTGTCACCGCAATGTGCTGTTTAAGATTTACGCTAGAGTGGGTAGATGGATCAAGACGCGGCACTATACTTCAGTGTAGTCTTGTTCAAGAAGTATTGTAATGGCTTAAGAAAAAGAAGTTTTGTTTTGCAAAATAAATACACGCAAAACAATTTTCTTAGTTTATGCTACTGACGAAATATTCACAAGAAACTTAATAAAGATTGCTAAGCCAAAGATTTATTTTTCCTTTTCTTTTAATATTTCATTTTGCCTAAACATTTTCATATACGACTCAGTATAAAATATAAAAGTGATTCTTTCGTCTTCTTAACTCCATTTTAAAGTGATATAAGTTCGAGTCATTTCTTTAAATGACTCTTGAAATATTGTTCGGTATATGGTCGCGCTCAATAAGACCTATTAAAAAAATTAATCCTATTAAATTCATTTTTAGAGAAAATAATACTTTCTTATATTTAGTATGTACATTAATAGATATGACCTTTTTTGTCCTGAGATCTGCCGAGAGACAGGAAGAATGTTTTTCAGATTCGGTAGTATTTATTTATATCAAATGGCAGGCGTTTTGATGGTTATCATTAGCCTTTTAGTTGACTTCTAGCGTCTCAGAGGGGAAGGAACATTGAAATGAAAAAAAGTTGAAAGGGGGCGAACAGAAGAGTGCTTCAAAGACGACGATAGAAGAAGTAGTACTGTGGAAGTGGTCGAATCTGACATACAGTGGGGAGATAGTAGTTTGAAGTCAGAAGTCAACTGCCAGTTCATAGATTTTTTGCCGTATGAGTATACGTTGCCCATGGAGCACCACGTGGAAGTAAGTCTATCGCAATCCCCACAGTTTCGGCATTACATTAGTGTTAATAGCTCTACCTCTTCTCTTACACCATTATTTTAAATGGGGGGAAGGGGGAGAGTATCCCTGGACTGTTCTAGTTTGCAACAGCTGTTAGGTAGAGAATGCAAAACATTAATAGAATCAAGAGAAGTGTGAAAATTTTATCTTTCGTAATTCGATAACTCAAACTCCTCGGATCTGAGTTGTTTGAAAGCGCTGACCCATGTAACTTTTTAGTTTTACCCTTAGTAGTTGTTGCCGTCATGCATGATGGTGAATTAAATGATAGGTATGGGCATTAGCTATATCCCCATGTTGGAGATCATTTTGAAGGAACACAATTATGTTTTATTTGACTAATTTATGCCCACGTTGCGCTTTCACCATGACCTCTAAATTCTACTGCAGCTACGGATTATCTCGACACTGGGAGAAATGTCCTTAGGGGCTAAATTTATTAAACAGAACAAAATATAGTCAGATACAAGGACTGTAGCAAGAGGATCAGGTGATTAAAAATAAATAGGGAGTCATTGTTTCGTTACATCCTGATTCCTGTATCATCACCAAAACCACTAGATGCACTTAAAATGGATAGAATCAAACTTGGGACATCCAAGAAGGAGTTGATTCCCAGCAGGTCAAATGATGAGGAATCTAAGTAAGCGTCTTTTGAAAGAGCCAATTAAAGCCTGTTCCTTTTAATATTTTATTTTATGTCGGCTTACCTTTAATATCAAAAATAGTGCTTAGTCAGTTAATTGCTTATCCTAATCAATGAACACCCTGCTAATTGCACAATTTTCTGGGGCAACTGAATGTTGATAATATTGTTAAAACAACTTAAAATTTTTCTTTCCCCCTGTTACGGATCGCAAAGCTAATAAACCTTGAATTATTCCCATTGATCCCCTGGTTTGGAATGGCTGACGGTGACACGGACAATGAATGGTTTGTCAAATAATGCAACGACTGCTGATTGGTGGCCGGCTGAGAGAGGTCACTGCGATCACAACTGCCCTTGCTCCCAACCTGACAAGCAGCACAGCCAATACCTTTGAGTTTGTTGGAGTGTGTATGAGATTTCATTGGTCAGCCATGACAGCGTTGTGTACTCCACACACCTTCACTACAATTTGTGGACAATTGGAGAATAATTGCTTGACCACCAAATTCTTTAACTTCAGGGTAGCTGCTTAAATATTTCGTCTGTTAGGTAAATACATCGGTAGTCGACGTGTATTCAGTTTTTTTGCCTCATATAGAAAAGGTGTGCTCTGCGACATGCAGAAATGTATATTCAGGTTGTAGCTGTGTAAAGACAATTGAATAAATGATAAAAGCATCTGGGAGCGCGTCCCTCTAGTCTTAACTTAATAGCCACACCACGGGTTTCCCACCGGATGTCTTTATTGACTTCAGACAAGTCTAGAAAACCAGTGAACCCATTGAAAGATACTCTATAATCATGAATTGTTTTTTTTCCTCGCTTTAATTTTACGAATGCTGTTCGATCACAAAGTTACTTTGAACAATACTTCATCCCATTCATTCGCTACTTTGCTACGCAATGGTACGGCATGACTACGAACTCATATTGGCTAAATTATTCAATCACATAAGTGAAAAAATATCGTGTTACACTTCCTTACCTCCTATATGCTAAATTCCGCAGGAGAGCTGCTTCAGTTCCGATGTCCTTCGGGTTTGCCTGGATTTAATTTTACATTAGTCTATTTAGAAGCCTGTGGTCAGTATATGCTTATTCGTCGTAAAACCTGTTAGAACAGTTGACCTTGAAATGGTACTTCGACAGCAGATTTACGAGTTGCCCAGGCTAGCTATTGCACGTGAGTATTAAGGGAAGATATTTCCCTACTACCTTAGATTGTGAAATAGTAAAATGGAGGGTGCCATATTAGCTGGGGGTGCACGATAGTCTTACCTCCAAGTGGTGCACCCTGTTCAACGTGTTCTCATACGGCAAGATACCCTATAAACCGCCAGCTGACTTCTAACTTCAATTTACCATGACCCTATTGTATGTCATATTCTACTACTTCCACAATATTCACTTTATCTTTTCTCTACCTTAGTGTCCGTCTCTTTTATATCCATGAATCACTCTTCTGTTCCCCCTCAGCCTTGAATTTTGTGAAATTGATATTCCTTCAATTATGAAGCCAGGAGTGAACTAAATGGCTAATGATAACTATCATAAAGCCTGCTATTTGATGCAATGCATAAATATTTGCTTGAAGTGCCTCTCTAACCTTATCGCACCCTTTAAATTTACTTCCCTTCTCTATTCCGGCTACCGATTATCAGAGGCCGGAACAGTCTTAATAGGAGCTACAATGCTGATAATGATCGCGAAGCTGATTCTATTGGAAAAATAAATTGTGGATTATCCGAAATCCTCTCTAGAATAAAAACAGATTATTGTGGGCGATCAAAAAAGTGGTTTGTTCAAAGTAGTAAAGTTCAATTATGAAGGGGTAAATTTGAATCCTTATTCCTAGCGATCGAATTTCAACCCAATATTAATGACGCCTGCTTACGTTTTCGGAGTATTTCAATCGATATGCGGCGTCTGTGATTTGATGGCCAATAGTTTGTTTCTTGTCATTCGAAGCAAAACTAACCTTTAGCTCGTTGGAAATCTACCTCAGTATCAAGTTAGCGCACTTTCTGCTCACTTAAAAACATCCGCTTCCTCGAATTCTACCTGCGCTTTCACTGAAAGAATCTACAATTACGAGTAGATTTAACGTCTTACTGTAGGA